TGCTTTAGCTGCCTTACACACACAGCATCAGCGTACTCACCCATAATGCATCGGTAGGGTTCTTCTTAACATCAGCGCAATGACCTATATTGTAAGTGTATTCATGGTGCACTGACCTGAGTCACAGTTAGCAGTTGCCTCAACAATTACAGCATATAGTAAACCGGTGTGTAAACGTATTGGTGATGCGTCCTTAATCTCAACACAATCTAAACTCCCAGAATCCCCAGCACACACAGAAGCCATTAAAGCTAAGTGAGTGAAGGGAAAAGGCTGCCGCACGTTGAGTTTGCCAAAGATAACACATCTGGCTCGTTAGATGTGTTAACTGATTTGCAGAATGCTCACTCTGCTATTGACATGCATAGAAGAGCCGGCGTGTCACAAATTTACAAATGACAAATTGTTATTTATGATTACCACATTTTACCTTGATTCTTTATAGCTCCGTTAAGCAAAGTACTTACAATGAAAGAACTACGTGTGCTCACAGTGACAAAACCACAAAAATGCATCACCAACTCTGCAGCTCTATGGAGCTTTATAGCCTCTTTTACTATATTGTTTTATTTCTACAGAGTGGTCACTGTTTGGTTCAGTCTCAGACAGCTGTTTCCTCCTGAAACAAGCTCTAATAAAACCCACTGTGCACTAAATGCACAGCAACATACAGCAGGAAGTTCAACAAAGTGGAACATTTAGCAGATATTGTTCTAAGGATTTAGTTGAGACCAAACCAGGGAATGGAAAGAACATTGTCCTGCATCCATCAGGTAGACACAAACATAACTCCAAATGTTGCTCCATGTCCACTGGATGTGAGAATAGGTGACGATTTGTGGTGTGCAGCTTGTTATGCAGTTCTCCTTCTCACATGTGCTCCAAAAATGCAATTTAAGCATCTTTAACTAGACATCAACCTCATCATCATCAGACACACTGCTACACAGGTGTGCCATATCAGGATAACGACAAATTAGGAGTATCTTTCACTTACGAAAGGGGATCTGGCAATCAGCACTTTGATGCTGTATGTAAGCAACACCAGAGTGAGAGCAGCGATCCAAACAGGTCGAATCATATTTGTGTCCAAACCAACTGGTGGACATGTACAGTATTTGGGGGTTCATAGATGGTGGTAGTTAAGATGAAAACTAATATGATTGAGATTTGTCGAGAAAACGACTTTGGTAATAGCAACAGGCCTTTTTGACAGCACACATTTTGACTAGAAAAAGACAGGTGTTACAAATAAAATGAATGATTGCTCAGTTTTATTCAAGTGTCCCAGTAAGTCCTGGCAGTGTGACGGTGAAGAGAGACAGCACGCACAAAACCAGGACCCTGAAACAAAAACAGCTAATTGTGTATCAGCCATCGTACATTTTATTACTTACACCTGCACTTTCCCTTACAGTCACGTCAAAATGTCCGCTGTTAAAAAAAGGCCAGTTGAACACAGGCTGTGTTCAAAATTGTAGTTTCGGGTCATGTTAGTTAGGCTCATGTTTTCTTTTAGCCCTGCTCCTCGTTTAAACGGCTACACACATTCACAACTGGGAGTTTGCCAGTACAACCACAGTCTATGCTGCTGGCCACAGGAGCAGTTGGGGGTTGCTTTGCTCAAGGGCACCTTGAGCTAATGCCGTTTGGGGTGCCAAGCTCAAATTAGATTTATTTTCATCACTTGCTTCGACCAACTGACCCTAAAGCCAGTTTCATTGGTGCAAATGTAAATGTGTGTGTCTGTGTGTGCTTAAACTGCTGGCAACACAAGCGTGGATGCAGCGTTTAATCTCTGTGCCCCATACATATGGGAACTATCCTGAGAATCAATAGTCAGGAGCTTTGAGAATGGGAAAGAGATAGAGAGCGGGAGAGAGGGAGGGAAATGGGAGAGAGAGGGAGAACAAAGTGTGAAAGACCGAGGAAGTAAGAAAGCAAGACATAAAGCAATGTAGTCTCGGCACTCTCTGGCATTCATAGATATTATTCATTGAAAATGCATGAATACACTCTCAAGTGCAATGCTTTGAGCCACCTGAGAGTACACACACACACACACACACACACACACACACACACACACACACACAAACACACATCTGCACAGGACTATGTGCAAACACAAATCATTCACAAGCACGCACACATAAAACTTTGCTACTAGAAAACACTGTTCAAACATGCACATAAGTAAAAAATCAGGCGGAAATCCGAACACAACACATTCAGGCACTGGAGCAGACATATAGACACACACAAACACACTCACACACACACACACACACACACATACATACACACACACACATACAGAAAGCAGAAAAGAGGAGAGGAGGAGCAGAGTTGAAAAGAATATGCCATAGAAGAGACACAGCCCATGAGAGTTATGTGAGGATTAAAGGGAAGTGTTGAGGGAAAGAGAAGAGTTGGAGGACAGGAGGGTGGATCAGTGAATACAGAAGAAGGGAGAGAGAGAGAGAGAGAGAGATAGCATAGAGAAATAATAGGCTACATAAGGTTAAAGACTGAGGAGCTGGATAGAAGAAGAGAGACAAAGTACAGTAAGTGGAAAAGGAACTACAGGACCGGAAAAAGCGGAAGGGAAGAGAAACAAATGGAAAGAAGGATGATGAAAAAGAAGAACAAGAAACGCAAGGAGGGAAAACGACGGCCAACTATTCATCCATACATTTGAGGACGGCTAGAATAAAGGAGAGGAAGAAAGTGATGGGAAGAGGAGGGACGGGTAGTCACAGATAACACGCAGCACACAATGAAAGTGACAGCTTTGCTCCGAGCATGACTCTGGCTGACTGTTGTTTCATTATAATCTCATAACTGTCAAATCCTGGAGCGATGGAGAGAGAGAGAAAGAGAGAGAGAGAGAGAGAGAGAGAGAGAGAGAGAGAGAGAGAGAGAGAATGTAAAATACTTTCATAGTGAGAGGGAAACAGCGAGAAAATTGGAAATTAATCTACACGTCTGGTTGAGTCGAACTGAATGCACATTGGAGGCAAACAGAGACGAAAGCTGGCACATACATACATACCGCTTATGGTGCACACACAAACACAAACACACACGTGTGCCTGATTGCTGATTCCTTCACTCACTCACTCACTCTATCAGACATTTGATCACTCGTGCACTCTCTCATTATCTTTATACTCTAACATTTAAGCCAAATCGTTTACCTGTCACTCATTCACTCGGTCATATGCACTCTAATTCACTTGCTCATTTACTCACTTCCTCTACCATTCACCCACTCACCCATTTTCTCACATTTAGTCAGTTGCTTTCTCTTTTATTCACTCACTCTCTCACAATTCACTTTGTAATGTTTAAACTCACTCACTCACTCGTATTCCCAGTCACTCCCTTGATAATGGTCTCACTCACTCAAACGCAGGTTACTCATTCAGTCACGAACGTAACCATTTGCTCACTCACTCCGTCATTCGCTTCACTCACAAATGACATCAAAATGACACCAAACTGAATATGTATAAGCCTTTGTCGTCACCAGTGAGGCTGGTATGAAAGCTGTGTAAATAGGGTAGCAGGTCACACACACTCCCAAGCCAGAATACAAACACAGCACCAAAGTGAAAAGAATGCGTTTGTTTCTTTTCCTTATCGGGTTTCTCAGGCTTTGATCACTGACAGCAAAGAAGCCTGTAAAGCTTTTAGGAGGCCTTTAACTTAACTGGGAAATGCAAACAAAGAAACGTCAAAATAAAAACTAATTTGAATAAAATCGACTTATTTCTCAAATAAATATATCCATTGGATTTCAACAAAATAAGATTATTATATTCTTGTGTGAGAGAAAGTAGCTTAAAATAGAAATTCAACATAGAACCATGACATATTTGTACTGTAAACCTAACTGCATTATGTGAGCAACGTAATGGAAGGTCAACAAGCATGTCAGTTAAGTTAAGTGGCTATTTTCCTGGGAAATAAAAGTGTGTTTCTCTTCAAACTAATAGACCATGGGTTTACTCTGAAGATTGACCCCCCACTGTCCTATTTCATCACGTAATGAATCCAATGAAGGAAGTATTGATACCATTTAACAGCAAGTGACCGCATTTGGCTCTGCCAGTCCGACTTGTCTGCTTCCTTGTTTTACTATATTTTCTTCAATTTTACAATGGCAAATTGGACTGCACTCAGACTGCATATTAATCAAACAGCTTGGGTGGTGCTGTGATACCGATCACTGCTCATAACTACACAGTTCTTTTTCCAACAGCAAAAATGTCTCGCCAAGCTGGAAATAAAATACCTGCTTGCACCAGTTGCTTGCAACAGCGTATCTCATAAGCTGCCAACATGCAGACTGATGCAAATTTGATATGAGAAGCCCACTAATGATTATAGTTATCTCACATTGACAGGAGTGCCTTTAAATACTTATCTCTTCTCACACACGTGTTCTCCCTTCCGCGATATCTGCTGTTACGTTTTCACACACAAAATCACACACATACTTTCTCGTCATCCTTTTCTCGCATACTTCTCACCTCTTCCACAAAGTGAAACTCTACTAAGCCGGCTAGCATCAATCTGCTTAATGTTTACCTCCCATGCTCTCAGGTAAATCTAGCTCTGTCAGCTCCGTCATTGTCTATATTTCTCTCACAAACACACAATCTCTCCCCCCCCCCCCCCCCCTCCCACTTGTTCAATCAGCTTCCTCGCGCAATAAATTGCCCACACAAGCAGCTGTATGCTTCAGTTAATTTCTCAGTCCTTCATGCACACAAGTCCAGAAAAAGAGACAAAAGAAAAAGGTAGAAGCAATGCTCAGAGCTCAAGCAAATGTCACCCACTCTTATCACTCCCCTTTCTCACTCACATTTAAACCTGTAGAGTTTGGGTCCTTATCTTCACAGGATTTGTTACAGTGAAGAAAGCTACAGGGGAATCTAAACTGACTACACACTCACACACCCTCCTTCACATTTTCCCCTCCGCTCTCTTACCTGTGACAGTGATCAGCATGGGAGCCACCAGCGGCCGGTTGTTATCCAGTTTTCGGCTCAGTCGGATCTCTCCGCTGGTGTGATTCAGCAGGAGTAGGTGAAGCTCGTTCCCTCGGTCGATGGTGTAGTACAGCCTGTCTGACACATCAGGGTCGTGGGCGGGTACTCTCCCAATTACGCCGCTGGGGAAACTGTTGGACCGATTGGATACGAAGTTGTTGAAAATGATTTGGAAGTCCTGCAGAGTGGGCCGGTTGTCGTTCTGGTCCACCAGTCGGATGCGGATAGTTGCCCGGCTGACTAGAGGTGCTGAGGTGGCTTGGACTACGATGACATACTCATTATTGGCCTCATAGTCAAGATCAATGAGTGAAGTGAGCTCCCCTGAAAAGATGTCCATCTGTAAGATCTCAGGGATGTTGCCCTCCACGATTTGGTACATGATCTGAGCGTTGACACCTTCATCCGGGTCGGTGGCTGTGATCTGGGCTACTACGGAGCCCACTGCGCTGTTTTCCTTCACTAGAACCTCAAAGTCATCAGCAGGGAAGACAGGGGCATTGTCGTTGACATCGAGGACTGTCACCTGTATGTGGACGGGGGTTCGCTGAGGGGGCACGCCTCGATCTACGGCATAGGCCGTCAGCTCATAGAATGGCACGCTCTCACGGTCCAAGCGGCGAACAGTTCGTACGATGCCAGATGTAGGTTCAATGGTAAAGTCTCCATCCCCGTCCTCGCCATTTTGGAAGGTGTACTGAACACGGCCATTAGCGTGTGCGTCACGGTCAGTGGCTGAGATTTGGAGGACACTGGTGAAGGGAGGGGCGTCTTCGCTCACTGTCCCCTGATATCTAGGGCTGACGAACTGAGGCGCATTGTCATTCACATCATTCACATTCACCTCAACATATGTAGTGTCTGCTTTCTGTGGTATGCCGTTGTCTTTAGCTGTTATAGCCAAAGTGTAGGTCATCTGGTCCTCATAGTCGAGCTCTGCCTGGAGCGTTATAGCCCCTGTGGCAGTGTCAATGCGGAATTGTGGGATATTGTCCTCGAGGAAGTATGTGATTCGAGCATTTTCACCAACATCATCATCTGTGGCACTGATGACAACGACAGTGCTTCCAGGTGGTCGGTCCTCATTCACGCTAATAGAGTAGTGGGCGCTCTGGAAAACAGGCCGATGAGTGTTGGCATCTGTGATGTTGATGTGCACCTGACAGGTGTCATGGAGTGTGCGGTCTGAGGCGGTGACTGTCAGAACGTAACGGCGCTCCTGTTTGTAGTCCAATGGGAGAGCTAACGAGAGAAGTCCGGACCCTCCTGCCGTGCTGATGGCAAAACGGTTTCTGGTGTTTCCTCCTGTTATCTGATAGGTCACAGCACTGTTGACGTCTCGGTCCACAGCCGTGACAGTCACTACACTGGTACCAACCGACGCATCCTCATTCAGGCGAGCATAGGACTCCTTTAGGAGGAACTCAGGGCGGTTGTCATTGACATCCATCACTGTAATTGTAACACTGGCTGTAGCAGAAAGAGGCGGCATGCCATAATCCCTGGCCTCAACGCCAAAGAAATAGTGTTCCACAGATTCTCGGTCAAGAATGGAGCTCACAGTGACCCAGCCTGTAGCTGAATTGATCATGAATGGTGTGTCAGAGCTGGTGCCAGTTAACCTGTACTCCAGACGAGCATTATCACTCGAATCAGTATCAATGGCCTGAATGTGGAGGATCGAACTACCAACTGGGGCGCTCTCGAGCACAGACGCCTGGAATGGGGTGGAGACAAAGATCGGTGGGTTGTCATTGACATCCGTCACCTGTACACTCACAATACCGGTGTTGTTGGAGAGAGGGGGCCGCCCATTGTCCTGTGCACGAACACGGAGCGTATACTCCCGTTCGGATTCATAGTCTAGTGGTGCCACGACATGGATCTCCCCAGTGACACTGTCGATGGAAAACTGTCCACGGCTGTTACCACTGATGATGTTATAGTGAACAGCAGCGTTGCTGTCCTTGTCCTGGTCTGTGGCACTCACATGGAGGATCTCAGAGTGAGGCCGTACATCCTCCTTCACTGCTACGACATAGCGCTTTTCACTGAACTGTGGCACGTTGTCATTTTCATCTAGAACGGTGATGAAAACTTTAACAGTAGCGGAGCGGGGCCCCGGTTCCTTCCCCTGGTCACTGGCCTCCACCTGTAGAGTGTAGTGCTCGTTGATTTCCCGGTCCACCGCTCCACGGGTTGTTATGAGCCCAGAGCGTGGGTCAACCTCAAAGGCTGCTCGTGCCATTGCAGCCGTGTCCCCGACAAAGTGGTAACGGATATTGGCATTGGATGGGGAGTCTAAGTCTGTCGCTCTCAACTGTAAGATGGGATACCCCTCCTCTACGTTCTCCCTAATCGTCTCCCTGTACTCTGTCTGCTCAAATATAGGAGAATGATCGTTCCGGTCAGAAACTGTAATGGCCACCATTGTGGTGCCAGAGAGTCGAGAGGAGGCGTGATCGGTCGCAGTGACCCGGAAGTAATGCAAATCCATGTGTTCTCTGTCTAGAATCTGAGTGGTGGAGATGAGACCTGTGTCTGGGTGGATGTGGAAGTAGTCAGATGATCGACTGTTCATCAACGGGGCCATGGTGTAGCTCACCCTGCCTGCATCTCCTGCATCTGGGTCTGAGGCAGACATGATGATGACTGAGGTGGCGGGTGGCTGGTTCTCAGCTACTTGCACTTGGAAGTTATACTGGGAAAATTGGGGATGTTTGTTGGCTGCACGTCGAGAGCGAGGCCAGGGCACCAAAATCTTCCTCCCCCTTTCTCCCTGTGACATTTCATCATCTGCTACTATTATCAGTCGTTCCAGGCTCCTCTCTCCCCTTGTACTGTGCCTCTCCTGCTCCCCACCTTCCCCCCTCTCATTCCCATCTCCAACCACATGGCTTTCATCTGCCTGGCTCTCTTTCCTCCCTCTTTCGCTAGCAGGCTGTGTGATGGTGGTGGTGCTACTGCCCCTATCCTGACCCTTTCCTCCCTCTGCCTCTCTCTCCTCTGCATGGCTTGCCTTTGTTATTCCTTTTCCCCTCTCCCACTCCTCCTCCTCTTGCTCTTCTCCCCCTGGTTCTCTCCCTCCCATCAGCCGCACCTCTCTATCTCCCTCCCCCACCTGTAATTTTCCTCCCCCAACAGCGGCAGCAACAGCAGCAGACCCCTCCAAGCCCTCTCCCTCCCTCTCTGCATCCCTCTCCCTTTCTCCCTTGGCCTCCATCTGCCGCCTATCTGTATGTCTGACACCTTCGGGCTCTAATGGCACTTGCTTACCGGATTTTAATTGCATATGTGCACGGTCGTTCTGCTCGGTGGCTGAACAGTCGGTGGAAATGCTGTCAGCGCAGCCTGCCTTGACCATCTCTCGCAGTGCGGTCTCCCACAGGTCTTGTTGCTGTGTCTGACCAGAGTCATGACTATATCCATTCATGTCCTTGCTTCCCTCCTCGTCGTTGTTGTTATTACTGTTGCTGTTTAATTTTCTCCACAAAAACACCCACTGAGAGTCCCGGGGAGCTGTCCGTGGTGCTAAAATCAGATCCTTCACAGGGGGTAAGTAAAGGGAACGTGCAGAGTCATCCTGCCATGTGGGCAGGTTCATTTCAGAGAAGAACGAGAGGTGGCTTTCTGTGGTGTCATCGGGCTGAGTGAGGAGACGTGAATTGTTTGCTGTTGCAGAGTGAGACGTGTGTGACACAACCCCGGGAGATTTAACAGGAAACTTCGCAGGCGAAAAAAAGCCTGAGTCACTGGCAGACTCTGTCTCTGAAGTTGCGTTTACTTTCTCAGCAGATAGATGGATCGGTTTGGATAGCTTTCCAGTTCCTGCATAACCACCTTTTCGTGTTTGAGGGTGCATATTGAACACCAGGCCAGGATATCTTGATGCAATTGATGCGTTTTTGCTGGATAGAAAACGTTGGTCGGGCATCTCTGTGATGCTCCTGGGGGAAAATTGTATGGGGGAGTTCCTCAGAGCTATGACTCCCTCCGGGACCATAAACTCTGCTACATATCCATCCCCCATTTCTATTCTATCCAAACAACCAAAACGACCACCGGGAACCTCCCTGCTTTCTCCCCGGGTTTGGCTGCCCTGCCCTCTGGTTGCTGTTGCTGATTTCCCCTGCGGAAGCTCATTATGAGCCCTACATAGGAGCGTCAGAATCGGACAAGCCAAATCATTATCCGGATAATTAGATAAATTAATGTATTCGTTGCCTTGGTTCACCCCTCCTCCTCGACCATCCTTTCCCTCTCTCCTCCCAGGCCTCTCCTCCCTCTTAGCCATAATTCTGACATGGTAATAACTTGATTTCATCTCACGGACAGGGGGTCCACAATGATCTAGGTGCGCCCATGTACTAGGGTTAATCACTGACGGTGCACTACATCTGTACGCTTCCTTCCCCCCCTCATCATCTCCCCCACTCCTCATCCCCCTCTCCCTCACCCTGCACCTATTGCACCCAGTCAAACACCTATCATCACCCCCCTCTCTGTTGCTGCTGAGATCAATATCATTGTGCCTCCCCAAATGAGAACAATTACCAGCCCCCCTGTCCTTGCTAGCTGAGCACCCATCAGTGTCCCAGGTCTTGTTATTAATGCTGTTCCTGTAAACTGGATGGGGCTGAATTTCACCTGTGTGACTGTTCTGAGAGGAATAAGTTGAAAAATGACAAACGTAGTCCAAATTTAAATCCTGGTTATAGTTTGAATTCTTTGTGAAACAGGGATGAAATTTAAAGGTGTAGTTTGAAGCCTTACTGTTTGGTGAATTGTATCCAAAGAGAGGATGAATGCAACAAGAGCAACCGGTTGGCAATGGGCCAAGTGAGGGTTTTTTAGCCGGGGAGAGGGCTTGTTTGTTGGGGTTTGGCCGGTAGAGATGCCCGGGTGTCAGCGAGCACCATGTAGCAAATAGCCTCCTCACCTCACGAGCCCTCTCCCACGCCTCGCTCCTACTCCTATCTCTACTTCCGGGTGCCCTGCACAGGCCAGAGGCGTGCACAAAGGCTCTGGCGGCGCCACGTTTGGTGAGGTGTGGCCTCGACGCCGGCCACCGTTGCGCGCCCGCTCTAGTCCTTTGTACTGCCCGTTGTTTGCCGTTCTGAACCGGCGAGGAGGTGAAAGCAGGTGAAGCGGGAGGAGAAACAACGCCCTTCCTTCTCATCCATCCTCTATCCACTCCCTCCCCTGCGCCGACGCCATCAGAGCTCGACCTGCTCCTAATACCTGGTTTGAGAGGAGGAGGGGGTGATGATTGTGCCAGAGGGCCGTTTTCACACCTCCAAAACGTCCCGACTCCTTTGAGTCTCTCCTTCCGTGTCCCCCTCGCCCCATCCCGGTGATATCTTCCCAGCGTCCCCCCTGCACGCTGCACTCCAGAGCATCCCTCGGTCTGTATCCGCTCTACGGTCCACCTGCTTGGGCGTATATTCCAGCTGCCCTTCGGCGACTCCCCTGCTTCCTCGCGCTGCTGCTGCTGTTGCTGCTGGCTCACTTTACCGGCGTCTCGGTAACAGAGACCGGGGGTCCATCGGTTGGAAGCCCCTCCTGTATTCCCAGTCCCTGGGGTGAGGGCGAACAAAGGGCCGAGGAGAAGCAGGTGGAGTGCCAGAGAAGAGAGCAGGAGCGGGGTGAAGCCCGGTAGCGGTGCAGCCATTTAGTCTCTTCCTTTCTCTGTCTCTCCCTTCTTTCTCCCTCTTCCACCACTTCCTATTCTCTCTCTCTCGAGTGCGTCTTCCCTTCTCCCCGTTACTTCTCTCTCTCTTTCTCTCTCTCTCTCTCTCTCTCCCTCGTTCCGGCTAGGTGGCCAGTTCCAGGACCGCTGGCACCGCCCGACACCTTCCCCCAGGCTCCCCCGTCTCTCCGTCGGCCTGGAGAGTTGGCATCTACCCGCTGTGGTCCGTGGAGCTGGAGGTCTGAGCGTTAAGAGCGGCGCGGCAGCAGCATCTCTCCTCCCGTTCATTCACATCCAACATGGCTTACACACTCACACTATCTGACTGACTGACTGACTGACTGGCTGGCTCACACACTACCCTCCTGAGTGTGTGTGTGTATGTGTGTGCGCACTCTCCTAGGCACAGCCCGGTGGTAGGCTACTATCCATCCATCCACACACACGATCACACTCTCCTCCTCTCTCCTTTTTCTACCCCTCCCCCTATTGCTTGCATCTCTACCACGCCCCTCTCTCTCTCTCTCTCTCTCTCTCTCTCTCTCTCTCTCTCTCTCTCTCTCTCTCTCTCTCCTTTCCTCTCTCATGATGGTTGGCTCCAGTGCGCAGGGCTGTTACACATCACCCGCAGCGGCAGCCATATCCACAACTGCAAAAGGACGGAGGGGGATAGCCTGGATCTTACACAATCACACCGTCATCAGCATATCATCTGAAGAATGATCACCCTCACAAATAGCCCTGCAGGTTTGCCACCTTTTAACGGGGTTATGCAGACAAACCTGGCAATGCTGCTGATTCAGACGACAACTAAAAATTTGATTCTGACCTTTTAAAATGAAAATTATGCAACAGTGGGATGTTTTGGATGAATTGCAGAAAAGCGATTCCTAGAAACTTTACCAAAAGGAAGGAAACAGCATCAATCATTTTAGTAAAATATATGGTGACAAAGTATGAGCCAACTTGTATTATCGTATAGCCTGTGATGTATGATATTTTATTTATTTTGTATAAATAAACTGCAGTTCCACAGCTTAATTTTGTTCATAAAAGACTACATTGTCCTATTTTGTGATATCATCCTCATCAGGTTACACACAGTACAATCCAGTCCGGTGATGTAAGCTGTGAGTCGTCAGGTTAGCTCTCGTAAAAGTGACGTCATCTCCAGTATGATCACCGATGAGTAATTCACACGTGCGCGCGCACACACATACACACACAAGCATAGGAAAGCACAGAAATTCCAATTCTGACTTTACTGTGAATAACGTTTTCTGTGGAAGGATAAACTATATTATGTTTTATGGGCTATAATTGTCCCACAGGGATTCATATGTCTGCCGTATAGCAGCCATATTTATTATTAGTGTGATTCATTTCAATGGTGAAGGCACATGCGCGCTATCCAGCAATCATCCCAATTTAACACTAATTTGTGCATGGCTTAATGGGCAGATCCATTTCCTGATACAAAAATCACATTATGCAAATACGTAGGCTACAAATTTCCTCCAATATTCACTCACCACCGTCTTCCCATTCAATACCAATTTATAGTGTCGGCTGGGTGGTGTATGGTTTTTCTAATGACACGGCTAGAATTGAACATGATTTCTTCCTGGGGCTGATGGGAGGAGATACACAAGGCGTGTCAGTCGGGGACGCTGAGGAGCAGCCAAATATGAGCCCCGGAGGTGCGTGACCGAGCATGCGCATGCACGTACGCGTGCGTCTCCACATGCCTCCTGTGTTCTTGCTTTCCCTCTGTCTCCTGTGTCTATTATTGTGTCTCAGTGTGTCTGATTTCATGTGTTTTGTTCATCATCTCACTTCAACTCATATATCTAAGCTTTGGCCCAACTAACCCCACTCCTTAAAATTAGGATCAGGCCTAAATATTGATCAGGTTTGAGTGTCATGTGTGGTCTAGTGGTGATTGTCAGTGTGGGCTATAGAAGGGCTAAGTATCCAAGTATCACAAATGGTCAAGCACAAAAAGTAAGTCTTGTTTTTGATGAGATATATTATATTATAATTTTGCCACTATTAGACCTCATTTTATTTAGGTTATGTTCTTATTTGTGGGAAAAATCATGTTTATATTCCTAAACATATTAAAATAGATTTTGGTATTGGTACCAAAACTCAGGTACCATATCAGCGCTAAAACACTTTTAAACAATACAACAGTGATTGCCATACAAATACACTACTGTACTGATTTATCTTATTGTTATTTGTGTCAGAAGCTATATTGCTTTAGTGTATAGTGTATTATTTACTATTAGTTGATGTATACATAAACAACAATGATCTCCCATGCTTAATTAAGGTGCAGCTAACACAGAATAAATTCAAACTTTATCTTGTGAATGACACACAACACAGTGTGTTAATTTATGTGTGTCCCAGTCTGTTTGGATCCCTATTTCTGTTTTTGTTTTTTTATTTTCAGAGCTGGAGCTTGGAGGACAGCCACAGCAATATGGTGCTCCAAAATGCATATCCCCTTTTTCCAAATATGATTTGAATGCACAAAAGAAAAAAATCCTCTCCCTCCCTCCCTCCTTCCCTCCCCCTGTGGGTGTCAGCAGCCTCCCTCCAGCCTCGTGCTCTGTCACCAGGATTTGCTAGCGTTGCTCGATCGTTGCTCCGACACCCTCACACGCCTCCGTCAGCCAGTGTGACTACAGTATAATGTAGGTTATTGTGGCGCACGCTGGCGGAGTTAACAGGATTTGGAATGGGTGCGTGTCGGGGGAGCATGAAGACGTCTAGACAAGTTGTGATGAGGCAGCGTGTGAAACACTCTGACAGGTATTACTCCGTTTACCCATTCAGTGATGACACTTAAGATGTCATGATACTTTTTCAACCACGGAGGGGAAGCTTTCTTTTTCTTCAACACTAATCAGAGAGGTCAGAGGTCACAGTGGCCCCTGAGGCTTTCAGGGGTTCAGTTACACATATTCAATGGCGCTTCACTGGGGTATCAAACTTGAATACCTCCAGTTGAATCAAGGTCTTTCTTCTCCTCTAAAACTGAAATGGTATAATGTTACAATGTTCCTCACTGGGAAACTAACACTATTGGGCTATTACTGTTTAAATTCCAATGATTGCATGGCACAATTACCAGTAATTAAATTTCATTCTTCTCTAAGAAGTGAGATTGAAGTTCAGTCAGGTAAAAACTGCAGTATACCTAATATGTCCCCCGCTGAAATGAAAAAAATGTTGCTTTCTCCAATGGGAAATATTGCTTTAACTTAGATTTTATTATGCCAAAAAGTGTTTGTTTACTCTGGCAAGGTAACTGAGAAATCCCTTTTTTTAACAAAAAAATCAAAAGAGGGTGTGTTTGTATGTGGAGTGTGTAATCTATAAGTAATGTAACAAATGGTACAATAACCTACCTCTTTAACTCTAAACATAGCACACATAACAGAGAGAATTACACAGCATATTTAACATGAAAACTATTCCAACTCAACATTACCCAATATGAAAACTAGTTTAATCCTTGCATGCCCTTGAAAGTCTTTGGGATGTTAATAGTCTTTGGTCTATCAGGGAAAGGAAAATCTAGACAGCAGTAAATCCGCCTGGAGAAAATTTCTGTCATGAAGTAATTCTGATTCCTATTCTGGAAGATGGACGGTTAATTCGACTGAATGGGAACTTTAATAATGTGAAAACCTGAAGACTCTCTGTCCATTTAGAAACTTGTTGAGATTTAAATAGACTCAGACTGTCACCCCCAATGTACATACATGAATCTCATTTGCAATTTTAAAGAATAGTGGTCGTTCTAGATAATCAGTAAAGCTAATACATTATTAATTGCTAGTAGAGACCCCAATAGAGAGTAATTGATCTGGAAATGCCACCTTGAATCTCTTGAAACATACAGCACATACAGTAAACACAATCGCAGCAAACACAAATACAATATATGCATGTATCTACAGGGTGAAATACCAGTGACGACCATAAGTAGCGTGAGCCCTCATTATACTTATTCATATTTGACATTTGGGAGGCAGTTGCATATTACACCGTGCACCTTAAGACGAAGAATCCACAGTTCACCCTTGAAAACTCTTCAAAGTAACTCTGTCAAATCAAATCAAAATCTGCCATAAATCTACTGGGGCTGATCCCTGCTTGTCTGTGCTGCTCTAATTAAGTACACAAAATGACTCAGCATGCCTGCTTAGATACACACATTAATTCATATTTGAGTTTTTTTTCTCTTATTTCAGTTTTTATTTAACTGTACCAAGTAAATAGTATATTACACTCAGGATGTAACTGTTTCATGTCCACCGTTATTTTTAATCGGAGCGGCTGGTCAGATTAATTAGGTTGAGTACGAAGTCTAATAGACAGAGTGTTGAGTGACAGCGATGAGGGAGTGCTGTGCCACTTACAGCGATCAGAGAAGCTGGACGGACTATAAACACTGAACGAAGCTGACTGACAGACAGTTACTACGGCACCCTGTGGGGCTCTGACATCAGAGGGAGAGAGAGAGGATGAGGGGAAGTGAGTGAGGGAGAAAGAGAGAGACTGGGAAAATAGGGTGAGTGATGAGTGACGAGGAGGAGGGGAGGAAGGGAGAAATGGGAAATGAGCGAGGAAGGAGCAGAAAGTTACCATGAGCCGCCGTAACACTTGAACAACTACGGTGTGATTTTTTTTTTTCCGGCTACAGTAGAGTTTTAAATCAAACAAATAGGAAATGAAACTCATTATTCTGCTCAATGAACAAATGCTTGCTGTGAGCAGCAGCAGGAGTAGATACATTAATATACAGTTTGTGGGCATTGGTTTGCTCACTGTATTTGTTTTATGCAATATGAAAAAAGAATTATAAACCTTTGCGTGCTCAGCCCTGGAGTGTTTCGGCGCACATTCCTGAAAATGTCACTACGTCCAGATAGGGGAACTACGCTGGATCACTTTTATCCAGAACGTACAGAACATTTTAACTTTTCTGTTGCTGCACTCTGGGGTAAGGAACCAAAAAACAATGATATAAGGTAAAAAGAAAAACCGCAGACATGCTTAGAGAGTGAGATGGAGGTGAAGAGGAGGGAAAACGACAGAGGTAATTAGAATGAGAGTTGAGTCATATATGGAGACTAACTGCAGGTGTCTGAAGCAAATTCTTTAATAACAAACGCTAATCTTAAATTTGTGCATCTAACAGTCAGTCGATCGACATCAGCCAAAGTGTCAGTAACCCACAGGCCATCTCATTCAGATCTAATTACATTAGGCTATTTCATCATTGAATTTCACGCTATCAAACTCCCATTTACCGATTGAAACCTTGACAGGTGTATATATAGACCACCAGACCAACCTCAGGACTTGATAAGTGAGGCAGGCTTTGAAGGTTTAGACCTATTTCACAGCACCACTGCCCTCATGAAGTGAG